GGAAGGGTGTGTGGATACCTTTAAAAAGCCCAGGGACCAATTTGTAGACGATGTCTTGGAGGGTTTTGTCAGATCTGGAAAACAACATACAGGGCCCTATTAACAATCCTCTCACCCTGATCTCCCAGCCAGGGATCCTACTGCTCCCCTCCCTTCCTCAGATTCAGGACCTGGTCTTTATCCCTCCAATACTTCTCAGCTGGATACAACCTGGAGGGAGGGAAGAGGCCCAGTGCTTCTCCCCGATCTGCCACTTTGGCTACAGGAACAAGGAGGGCTGAGGGACACAGGGGAGCTGACCCAGAGGATCTCAGGGGCAGGAGGGGCAGTGCGAGGCCCACCTGATGCTCAGCAGCGGCCGGGTTTTATGGACCTGCACATCACACATGGGGCAGTACTTGTTGGTCTCCAGGTAGCGCACGATGCAGGTTTTGCAGACTTGGGGGATAGAGAGAGAGAGAGGAGTCAGCCCCCTTTGTAACCAGGCCCAGCCCCCATACCCTCCACTCAGGTTCAGGCCTCCCTTCTCCACCTTGTCCCCATAGTTTAGGCCTGTTCAGAGGGCCAATGTGGTCCTGTTCTGCATGGAGGGCAAATGTCCCATATCCATCCTTGGGAGAGGACAGATCTTACGCGTGTACGTGTGTGTATTAGGCCAGTGTCATGTATACGGTGAGCCCCAAGGCCCAAGTTCCCCTCATGGAGTACAAAACAACAGCCAGCCTGCTACATATCTCCCAGGGTCCTTGGCCCCTTATCCCCAAGCCTATAGGGCACACCAGGGACACCTGCATCTTCAGGGGGTGAAATTTCAGCCACAGAGATTTCAGATTAAAGTCCCTGAAATGAAGTCTGGGCTGAAACCTCCAGCCTCCCCTGCCAGGCAGCCTCTCTATGACCTAGGGACCCCCACCAGGCACAGGCATGTTCACTTTTCAGGCTTGTGCTCTGCCTTCCCTGGGCAGTGCCCCTCCAACTTAGGCAGAGGCTGCCCACCCTGAGAAGCAGCCCCTCCACCCAACTCACAGGAATGCAAGCACTCTACAATGGTCGTAGCATCGATGAAGTACCCCCCGCAGAGGGCACACATGAGGTGAGGGTTCAGCTCCGTGATTTTGATCCGTGTGGTCCGATGCATGATGCCGGGGAGGGGGTTGGGGGCCTAGGGAGCGTTACCCTGGGAAGTAAAAGTGGAATTAGAAACCCAGAGATCCAACATCCTCTCTGAGCCCAAGGCCCTTCCTCTCCGCCTTGGTTTGGGTGCATGTAAGGGTCTGGTTCTTTCTGGCCCCCTCTGAGTGTTTACTGGGTGCCGGGGGCTCTGGAGATTCACCTAACCTTGAGCAACAAGGTCAGGCTCCACCTCAGGAGCAGCAGGAAAGACTGAGATTCAATCACAGGAAGTACTACCCAACTCTCCAGAGGATGTGGGGAGGCAGGCAAATGCCCCTGACTTGGTCTTTGTATCCATTCTACCCTCTTCCATCCCATCTACTCCTCCTCCAGGAAGCCTTCCCTGGAAACACAGGCTGCTTTAAGTTTGAAGGGGCACCCCATCACTTTTCCTTCTGGCCCTGCATCCAGCCCCGGCCCCAGAGCAGCAACCTGGAAATCCACTGTATGCTGACCATGTAGGTTCCAAGCTTGGTGCTCACGCAGGATATACTGAGGAACACAGCTCCCCTGTGCCCATAAGCACACACATCCAGGACTACCCTCCCCATGCACACAGTTATTTCCCCACGTGGGCACTGCCAACCATCATCTCCCACCCGATGACACTTCCTCGGCAACCTGTCCACAGACTGTCCAGAGAAAGACCACAGACTCTGAGATGCCTGCCAAAGCTGGGCAGAAAATTCCCGGTCCCCAGCCCACCTGAACGCTAGCCCAGCCCAGCCAGGCTCTGGCAAGGTCCCAGGAGGTTAGGCAAAGCCCAGCTCTGGATTGGCTGATGTTCTTACTTCTTGGAATAAAAATCAAAGCTGCACCCATAAGGGATGGCCCCTCCCTTCTTCCTCTTTCCCAGAGTAAAAGCCCAAGGGGTGGAGCTTGGGAGGGTGGCCAAACCCCAACGGCTCTTTTACAACATACACCTTTCTCTCCTTTCCAGAAACATTTCTAAAGACACCACATTGGGTTTTCTAGGACCAGAAATTCACAGCCAGGATCAGCAGTTTCTATAGAGACCCCAGGATGAGTTTGGCCAGAACCCAAACAGCCAACAGAGGCTGGCCAGACACCGAAAGAGATGGAGAGACACAAAGGCCACACATGGGAGAAACACCAACTAGCAGGGCAGACAGAGGGGAACAAGCCAGCCAGCCCAGAGAGCCAGCAGGCATGCAGCAACTGAGACCTGCAGGCCTGGCCAGAGGAAAGGGGTTTTGGCCACACATACGGTGGACTCCTTCTGTCTTCCCTGCAAGAGTCCCCCCTTCAGTTATGTAGCAGGCTTGCTGGTGACTCCACTGTTTGGTCGTTTCCATGGTAACCTCATCCCTGGCAAGGAGCCCAAATATTATTACAACCATCCAGACGAAAGAACAAACTCCAAGTGGCCGTCTCACTGAGTATGTATAATATTGAATGCATACGTGCTGTCTGGGCCTCCAAAGGTACTTTTTATGACTAGTTGTCCCGTGTGTGTGTCTGTCCAAAAGAATCTGTGTGTGCGCACAGCCAGGAACAAAACATTTGGGGCTCTGATAATGCTGGGGGTCTAGGTTGCTATCAGTGAATGTCACACCGCTCCCCTCTCTCATACACACACACAAACACATAGCGCTTCACACTGCCTTCGCCACCTCATTCACACACTTGCGTTTTCAAACAGACACTTGCTCCTAAGAATTCCCATCTAGTTCCTGCAAGGCAGACTATGTCCTCAACACATAGGTGTTCCTAAGCACATGACCATGACCCTCACCGTCTCACTTCTTTAAGCATTTGTGAGCATTCAGACCCAGACCGACCATCCTTCAAGCTCCTTTCTAGATGCTCGGGTGAAGAAAAGAACTGCGGTGGTTACTGAAGGAATGAAATGTTCCTCTATCTCCCAAGAAATGAGCCCCCCTTGTGATACTCCCTGCTCCCCTTACCCCATCCCCAGAGCCTCAGACCCTGACCTCTGGGACTGGGGAGAAGCCCTGATTGGTTACTCACCTGATTGCCATGGTTACCTGTTCCCCCAAGCCACCCCCTCCCCATGTCATCCCCCACCAGGAAGCCTCAGGGCCCTAAAACTGACACCCAATTCCTCCCCAGCTGCAACTGGCTGGTGTGTTGCGAGTAGCAGAGGGAAGAGGTGCGATAGGGGGCTGGACTGCCAGCATCATCACTTTAGGGAAGAAGAGGCTGGGAGATCGGAATAGCCTGAGGGAGACAGAGAGGGAAAGACAAATCCAAGAAGCAGTAAAGGGTCATTGGGAAGTAGCCCCTGTGGAGTTCTGGGGGCTCTAACAGGTCAGTCACAACCATATCCCCACAGTAGACCTGAGCACCATCTCCCACCCCCAATTGGGGGCCAAGTCCTTCAGTGTCTTCTGTCCCAAACCACTGTCTTTACAAGGGCACAATAGTTGGGTGGCCTATGCTTCTGGCCCTTGTAGTCCCTGGTCTCAGCTACAGTGGCAGGAAAGGAGATCGATCAGCACCCAATTCCAACTCCTCCTTGCCATTCAAGGCTGGCATTTGTCTTTCCTCATCCTCAAAGTCCCCTACTAATAAAGACCACCCCCATCTCTTTGTTTTAACCCAGATCTTTCTGGAAGCTCCCCCAAAATTCAAGCCTCTCTCACTGTCAGTTTTTTAATGTTCCCTGCAGAAATCATAGCCAATCTCTGATAACCTAGAGGTCCCTCTGCTCCTTTGGATGCCCAGCTACAGCATTCTTTCCTCCAGATGAAATTAGCCCAACTCCCTCAACAGAAAACCTCCAGGTCTTGGGAAAAGTCACTCAAGGTCATATCCAGACGTCTAGAATTGCAGAGGTAGGAGGGGTTTTAGAAAGCATCTTGTCTAGTCATTTCATTTTACAGATGAAGAAACTCAGAAAGAAGTGACTTGTCTAAGGTCACACAGCAACGCAGTAGCAGTCCTAGGACTAGAAACTGTCTTGACTCCCAGTCCAGTGCTCTTTACACACTGGCACCTAGGCCAGGCTCCCCACTCATTTAAGAATCAATAAGCCTGGCCTGATTCCATCCAGGAAGGTAGAAAGTAAGACTCCAGGTTCCCTAGAAGACCACTCAGTGAGCCTCCTGGGAGGGGTCAAAGTCTGGCCAAAATATGACCATCAGCACACATTCTCACCTTGAAGTATAAAGAGGGAGCAGAGGCCTCATCTCACATCCATGGTACAACAGGGAAACTGAGGCTGTATAGAAGCACAGTGAGCCAGAGTATACTGTCAAGACTCAGACCCTAGGTTCTAGGAGTCCATTCCTCTCCCAAATGTGTGGGTGCAACTGTGCAAGCCCCATGTATTTGAGGGGAATACGGGGGTCCACCTGGGAGCACTGTCAACCTCTCAATCCTTCCTGGGACAAGGATCCGCTCCCTCACCAGCATCACTGAAAAGGCTTCTAGCCTCCTGAAGCTCGGCTCACTCTACCCTCCCTTCCTTTCCCACCTCTCAGCTTCCTAATATCAAACAAAGACAAAAGCCCAAAATACACACACACCGCCAGGCACACCCCCTCCATCTCTCTCACACTCAACACACAAGGCCAGACAGACATAACACACACAGACACAGCCAGACAGATACTTGGCCAGACAGACACACAGGGCCAGACACACCCCCATCATACATACAGCCAGACCAAAGCCAGGCCCACATTTGCCAGATGCAGAGCCACCTCCACTCACCCCATCCAGAAGCACACAGTCTGACATCCATGGCTGAAACCAGAGCTGCAAACACACTAGCCTTTTGTGCATCCCTGGTCCACCCAGTGTAAATTATAACATAAGTCTTCTGGAAACAAAGACAGTGCAGCTCCCAACCTCCACTCTGGAGGCCAAGAGACTGGAGGAGTGGGGTGGGCATCTGACCTGCACAAAGATATGACCTCTTCCTCTTGGGGCTCTCTCCATTCCCATGGCAACAGCTCCATCCACCAAGATCTCTCAGGCAAGGCCAGGGCAGCAGAGAGCCCCCTTCCTACCCACCCCCTAAGACTTCAACTTGAACCCCACCCAGCTACACAGTGTCTGGATCCTAAGTCACAGGTCTGTTTCCTGTGTTATTCCAAAGACAGCTCTAAGACTGCAACCCCCACCTCCAATGAGGGAACCCCTGGGAAAACCTCACCACCAAAAAACTGCAACAGAGCTGGCTTTATGCTTCTTTCCAAGTACTAACACCCTGGAACAGAGTGGAAGGGAGAGGAAGAAGAGAAAGTATAGTTTCAGGAACAGATGCAAACTGCAAGCGGCCCAGAGAACGAGGCATCAGAATGGAATGGGAGACAACCAAGGGACACCCCTACCCCCTAGCTACAGGACGCCCTGGAGAGACTGAGGCAGAAACGGGGGTAAGGGGTGGCTCTGAGAGACAAAGACCAGGGGCAAGCGCGGGGTAACACTTGCACAATATTTACTGGCAAATTCGCCACTCCAGGCCTCCTCCTGCCATCCAGAGCAATTCTGGGCAGATGGGGGCCGTGGGGGAGGGGGCAGAGGCATGCCTGGGCCCAACGCGGAGACAGGAGGGGCAGGGGTGTCTACTTGCCCAGGGGGTCCCACCCCCTCGGAGCTGGCGGCTGGACGGCCTGGGGAGGAAAGGGGCAGCCAGGCTCCCCACTGGGGGACGGGCGGGTCAGTCGGGCCCCTCTTGCCTCCGCTGGCGACGGGAAATACCGCGATAAACCTTCCCCCGGCATTTCCATTCCACCCCCTCCTCCCTGGCTGCCCCCGGAGCCTGGGTCAGAGGATCGGGGACCCCAGTTACCGGGTGGCCGCTCCTATCTTCCCTAGAGCCAAACTTTCGGCGGGGCGCAAGGAGGGGTGTTCCGGAGAAAGAGGATCTTCTTAGGTGGTTGGGGAGGGGGCGGGGCGCCCAGTCCAGGGATCGGGGGGAAGAAACCGGCTGGGGGAGGTGCCCGAGAGGACGGGGACCCGGGCAGGAAAGAGCGCCCTCCTCCGGCCCCGCAGCAATCAAAAAAGCATGTCCTCTTCCTCTCGGCCTCAAGTCCTTGCACGTCCACGACGCCAGGGTGGCCACAGAAAAAGCAGAGAGCGACCCCTCCCCAAACCGAGGCGGGTAGTGGGGTAGAACCGGGGCTGCTCTGGCTCTTGGGGAGGGCGAGCGGGGTACAGATCCACCCCACACGGAGCCCCAAAGCCTTTGTGTCTGCCTCGGACCCTCCCCCTCGCTACCTCCGGAGCAGGTCTAGGACGGAGCTGAGGCACAAAGAGGTGGTGGTCGAGGGAGACGCCAAATCGTTAAAAGGGGAATCCACTGCGGCCATCTTGGAAGGGAAAGAAGGGAAAATGGGAAAGAAAAAAGGGAGAAAGAAAGGCGGATCGGGAGAGCCCGATCGGGGCTGGCGGGGGTGG